CTGCTCCTGCTTGGCTCGGAGTTGTTGTGAGAAGCTGGGCCAGTGAATCATGGGCTGGTTGAGCTCATTCTCTGACTCCCCATGACTTCATCACTCGCTGCTGTTTGAAAACCTGCTCTGGAGCCTGTCTAAAGGAGTGCCCCGGGGTTGGTTTAACTGTTTCTGCTCTATTTAGTTTGAAGTGGACCCAGTTTCTTTCACTTTTTCATCCTGGGGAGATTGGTTTTCCAGCACCGACCATGTGCAGTGATGTTGCAGAGTGGAAATGTTTTAATAGAACACCCAAAACTTTCTGGTACACTGACAGCACAATGAAATTCTAAACAACCAACAGCAGCATCATGAGGTATTCATAAAAAAGAGCAAGGGTTTAGAGAGGCCACAACCATGAAAAATAAGAAGATGCAAAAGATGAAAAATAAGAAATTGTGAAAGAGAAAAAATAAGAGAAAGCCAAAAGGCTACACAGCGATTTCAGGGGGAGAAAACTTTCATTTTACTGAAATATTTGCCAGCTCCCCAGTGCATGCCTCGGTTTCCCTAATTGCTACGTGGGGTTACCAGCCCAGACCTATTTTGCAAAGGTGTTGTCAGGTTTAATTTGCGAACCTTTGAAAAGCTCTGCCGAGTCCTGGAGATGAAAGGCCCTGCAGATGCCACCCGTGGGTGTGTGCTCTGAGTCACAGGCACAGCCAGGGACCTGTGTGCTGGGACAGCACCCGCCAGGGGACACTTGTCCTGTGCAGGCACCACAGCAAAAATCCCAAGGGATGCTCCTGCAGACATGAACTCACGCTGGAGGCAGCAGGAGCCACCTCTGGGAGGGGCAGAGATAAGGAGATGTCCAGGCTGGGCTGGGTTTTGGTTCCTAAATTGCCTGGAAAATGTGTGCGTGCACCAATTGGCAGCTGGAATACGAGGTCCACAACACAAGGAGGGCATGGGAGAGCTGGAGCAGGTCCAGAAGAGGCCATGAGGTTCATAGAGGGGCTGGAGACAGGCTGAGAGTTGGGAATGTTGAGGCTGGGGAAGAGAAGGTTGAGTGGAGACCTCAGAGCACTTCCCAAGATCTGAAGGAGAAGCTGCAGAGGGACTCTGGATCAGGAACTGGAAAAGGGGAAATGGATTCAAACTGCATGAGGGGAAGTTTGGGTTGGATGTTGGGAAGGAATTTCTCCTGTTAGGTGGGCAGGCCCTGGCACAGGTTGCCAGAGCAGCTGTGGCTGCCCCTGGGTCCCTGGCAGTGCCCCAGGCCAGGCTGGACAGGGCAGGAGCAGCCTGGGACAGTGGGAGCTGTCCCAGCCCATGGAACTGGATGAGTTTAAGGTCCCTTCCCACCCCAACCATCCCATGACTCTGTCATAACCTGACAAAGGCACCAAAAAAGGGATGTTTTGGATATTTTCTTATGCCTAAAACGCCCTTTAGCTTTTTCTTTTTTTTTTTATCTTTCACATTTTCTTATTTTTCATCTTTTGCATCTTCTTGTTTTTCATGGTTGTGGCCTCTCTAAATCCTTGCTGTTTTTTATGAATACCTCGTGATGCTGCTGTTGTTGTTTAGAATTTCATTGTGCTGTCAGTGTACCAGAAAGTTTTGGGTGTTCTATTAAAACATTTCCACTCTGCAACACCACTGCACATGGCTGCTGCTGGAAAAGGGGTGGCACTGGATGGGCTTCAACATCCCTTCCAACCCATCCCGTGATCCTGTGATTTATCTGCATTTGCATCAGTAAAATCACGTTCTAAAACCTCAATCCTTAACCTTTTATCTGCCTTACCCACACCAAAATCTTATCAAAGCATCAGGAAAACAAACCAAGACCACCTTTGTCCAAGCCAGACCTCTTCCTTGGGATGTTTTTTGCTCCACAAGGATTCACCTTGGCTGGAACAGCTCTGCTGAGTCTCCACGTACACGTGAGAACTGGAGCCTCCACCCTGCAGTATTTTTAATTACTTGGAGACTTGCAGGACTGTTGATGTTCTAAAAAACAGCTCAGCCCAGCAAGCCAGGGGGAAAGAAATGCATTGATGTCAGTCAAATTTTTCCTTTATGAAATCGGGTCTTAAAAAACAGCATTGCCCTTTCCTGTGCCGGGGAATGAATTCTGACTCATGGAAGGCTGTGGGTCTATTAATAAAAAAATCTTAATGAAAGAAATGCTCTTTCCCAACAACTACTATCCAAAAAAAAAAAAAAGCAGAATGCCGAGACATTTTTCATAAAGAGAGAGTTGTAAAGTCATTAAGGCAGGGAGAGGGGCTGGATCTATGAGCCAGGGGCCCAGGAAAAGAATTTAACTTCCTTTTTCTCTCATTTTGCACAGACAAGACCTTTAGAAACTTCATTTGTAAGACAGGTTCTTTCTTTCTCCTATCTGCTCCAGAATTTTGGCTGTGCCTGCTTTGCCTCTGTTTCCTCCACATCTCAAAAAAAAAAAAAAAAAGCTGGAAAATGCAGAGCTGGATTTTTGCTCAAATCCCTTCCAACAGGGGGTTCCTGGTGGATGTTTCAGGAGATTTTTTACAGGTAAAAATCACCTTCTCCAGCAGCGCCACCAGGGCGTTCTGAGACATCTCAATTAAGCACAAATCTCTGGCGTGGTTAATTTGCACCCTGGGCATTCATCTCAGAGAAATCTCACTGAAATTCTGAGTGTAATCTGAAGAGATGTGAGAGGAAGATCGACCTCATCCTTTGGAATCCACCAGTGCTCATAAAGAGCTTTTTTCCTCCCGAAATCGTCTGTGATCCCAACATTTCCCAGGAATTCAGCTGCTGGAGATAGTTTTTAAAACTTTTTCACTTCTTTTCTCAGGCAAGAGATATTTTGACCATTTAAGCTGCACAATGGTTCCTCTTCCAGGTGTGTTCCAGTTCTGAGGGCACTTATGGGAAGAGCTACAGAGGATATCCACCCGAACTTTTCTCTCAGAGCACACAGTGGGGGTTTTATTCACCACTCATCTTTTGGAGATTGCGTGGCCTGTGGGAAAAGCAAGGCCAGGCAATTTTTACCTGTTCTGATCCGTGACTGGGTTATTTCCAGGTCTAGATGGACAGACCTTGCACAAACCCAAAATAAAATCAAAATAATGATAGTAGGGCTGTTTAAACCCAGTATTAACCATGAATTTCTCCTCCCTCCTGAATGCAGCAAGCCCTGGGGGGGAGCCTGCTTGAAGAATGCTTTATTCTAGGCGTTCATTTTAATTACAACCCTAATTATTTTGGTACATGG